TTATAACATAAAATGAATAAAATATGTATATATTTAATTTTTTAATTTGTTATTATGGCTTCAACAATAAATTCATTAACCAGTACCAAAAAGTGTTCATGAATTACTTTTTCTCGTATTTTCACTTATAACAATATGAATACTATTTAATAAAAAAAAAAAAAAGGTGGTTATTTAAAGTATTTTTAAATTCAAATTATATTATACAATTGTGGCCTTTTAAGAAATATACATAAAAAACTATTTAAGGTTTGTCAAATAAATAATTTTAATTTTAAAATTAACCCACGTTGAAGTGTTTTCAATGGAAGGTTATTCCATCTACCTACAATCAAATCAACATCAATTGTACAGTATTTGCGATACCAGATAAATCGGGTACTAAAAAATTTTAAGTTAAARAAAAAAAAATTTWAATTATGTAAACGTTAGGCAAATTATTAATAATATTTTTAACGTTATTTKAAAATATTWGTTATAACTAAAGCTGTGACCAATACATTTTTTTTTATAATTTCACGAAAGGTATAAAGATAGGTCAACTTTTGTTTATAACTTCTTCATAATAATATGAATAGGTACACAAAATGWATTTTCCATATTACGCTGAATAATATATTGCTTATAAGAATTATTATTTGATCATATTTYATAATTTATAATTTATATATATACATATTATATGTATATATATCTTTAATTATTTATAACCCATGCGATTTATCTATGGGAATAAATATTTTTACTTTATTTTTTGATACATTTTAATTCCAGTGATTTTTCAAAGAAAAATAAATTTTAAAATGTTATTTTGAAAGTATTATGAACCTACTTGATTGTATTAATTTTTTTTAATGTTCAAAAACAAAGTAATTTTTTCAATAAAATGTTATTTATAAAGACAATAATGTCAATAACCGTAATCGCAACACGATATAATTAAATATTTTTTTCATTATAATCTTTGATATTTTAAATTAAATTTATATACTTTTATTGCATTTTTAAAATTTTAAAACTCATATTTTTACGTAATATTWTATTGTATTTTTAATGCACTCGTATTTAAACAGTTATGTAGTGCAAAAATTTACAGAACTGACAGAAATGAACCCAATTATTAATCAGTTTAAAAAAAACTAAATAATTATTAATTTACAGTATTTATAAATGTATGCATTTAGTATACCACAGACARTACTGAATAAAAGRTAATAAGAATTATAAGAAATTATTATAATTATAATTTTTTTTTTAACAAATATTAATAAAATAAAATCGACCATTYATATAGACCACATCGGTTGTACACTTAATCGTATACGACTGGTGACTAATACTGTAGTTAAAAGTTAATAATGAAGTCATATTATGTAGTTAATGTTATTGCGGTGCTTCATGTACCTTACCTATAATGAATTAAGGTTCACTAAAGATATTTTTTAAAAACCTTGTACGTTAGAAAAAAATATTGAAAATTCTGTAATTTATAATACTTGAAATATAATATCTACGTTAGTTTAATTTATGGTTATAGTAGTCATAAAGTATTCGATACAAGTGTTTAATTTGAGAATTGCCTGTGTTATGACAGTAACATTTAGTTGAATAACATTGGTTACCACGTTTACTATTTCTTTTTTTATAAGCTATTGATTTATTTATTTTTTTGTTCAATAATCTGACACAAGTATTGAAATAAAAACGAATTATGTACTCTTGTGTGACGAGTTCTGGTGTATTAGACATTTTAAGCTATTCGATTGAATAATCAACAATCGCTTGATTGCATTTCAATGACACGTGACCACGTTACGTTAGAAGTTTAATGAACATTTGGTTATATAATACTTTGTTGGTCAGGTGTGCCAAATCTCTACAAATAAGTGATCTATTGATACACTTTTATACAAACGACAAGACACGAATTGTAAATTAAAAATTATATTATTACAGTTCAGACCTATCTAACAATTTATTTTACAACGGTTAAAAAATTATGATCTGAAATAAAAATTGAATCTGCTATATAAATAGTACTAGAATAAAAGATAAGTATAAACGTATAGGAGACCCACAAGTTAGTATAGTAGATGAATTCAAAATAAGATAAGGGTAAAAATAATATTCACTGTATGTTTTATTACGAAAGATTGATTTTATAAAGACAATAATAATTTATTAATACATTCTAAAACCTCGTGTCTTAAAGATAATACATTGTAAGAAAATATCGTGCGCAAAAATTGTTTTGACAGCTGAGAAAGTTTTACATTAAATAAAATAATAATTGATTTAATTGTTGAAATAATGGCAATTAATGATATTTACAAGAAAATATTGTGTACAAAAATTGTTTTAAAAGTTTTGAATCAATTAAAACAATAATTGATTTAATGTCAATACAATGCAGGTAGTATATTAATATGTATATAAGAAAAATCTGTAAAACTTATTACACTGTAGTTAAATATTATATTAAATGAGAATTAATAATGGATTTAGCCGTTTAAGGACTTTAAAGTGAAATTACATTTTTCTTTCAAACGATATTGAAACATTTGAAACTGATACTTACATATTAAGTAACATTGCAACTTGCAGCAGATGTGTATACTCCCTCCATGGTTACTGTTAAAAAATGTTTAAATTCTGTAATGAGCAGTAAATACCCGGGAACAAAAATTATTGAAAATCTAAATTCGTCTATCCATGAAGTACGATATTCAATGGCGCATCTTTAATAATATAAAAAATATAATAATATTTTGTTTAACGCATACTTACAAAATAGCTAATGACAAATTAAACGAACTTATATTTAGAGCATTGTTTCCCAAATAACAGTATTCATCTTAGGTATGCTAAACATACTACGATTAGACACTAACACGGTGTGTTTGCTTTAAAGCGAGTATTGAAGTTATGACATGGAATATCAATAATCAATGCATTTTATAACACTAAGCAAATGCGTTTTTCATAGAATAATGTAAAGCTGAATATCATCTCTCCGGATATTCCAAGCAATTACCTATATTCCAGGATAATGTCTTAGAACAATAACCTAATCGTGGGCGATAACGTGATACTATATTATAATTATCAATAGCGTGTTCATACCTGGCTATTATTGTCCTCAGGATCGTAATTTTCATGCCTAGTCGGATCAAAACAGTGCACCATCACCATCACCACGTGGTGCTGATGGATCCAAAGACGAAAACGATGACACACACAAAACCGTACTCGGGTAAGTCGTCGTCGTCGTCGATCACGTCCTCGTCTGCCGAGGTAGACTACCAACAGCAACGAGACCGCCATCGTCTTTATCAACTCCAACGACAGCAGCAACAGCAGCAAGAATCTGAGGAAGCTGAAAGTCATCCTTTGTCATATTTTCAACAGCGGACGACTGTAAGGACCAGAGACCCGAACACCGTCCAGTATCCGGTATCGCAACTGCAACCTGCAGTGATGCACTTGCAGCCGTTGCAAAGGTATCCAAATTGGCCACCTAGGCAGAAGAGGTCCAAAGTCATAGCCAGACTGGTACACACCCATGATAATTAAACCCGCTTGGCCGTATTCAAAGTCGWATTTATTTTCTGYGAACACTATCCGTTACATTTAATGCACAGCGACRTCTGCTGCATTTAATTTCAAATTGTTATGGTCATTCGCCATGGTATTATAACAACATTATTATATTATCCCTTCAGTGTACATGTWGGTAAGGTATAGCGTGGGGCTTCTATTCCGAACTCTGTAATGTCTGTCTCCACAACATCAAATCTTCAAGGCACTTATATATATACGTGTATGGGTACCATTCCATTTATCACTTCACGTCGAAAAACGTGTTATAAGTATACGTAAACTGATTTCTGGAAATATCAGACAGAACATCAGGCCATCGGGTACCTATTATAATAACATTGTATTTATTCGAGGTGATACCATGGCATATCATATTAATACCAACGTTCATAAATATGCATAGCTACTATTATATTATAATACAAAAGTTTAATCATATTGTAGTAGTAATAGTACATAAATAACGATATAATAATATATAGCTCATTTAGTTAATATGAGTCATCAATGATAATGATATTTTTAAATTTAAATTAAATTCTTTATGTCCTTYATTATGTTGTCTATCAACTTTTACATATTTTAATAATTTTTAAACGGGTATTATAGATATAGAAATATTCAATGTAAATTTATTAAAAACTACACAGTGTTAAACTATAGGTACGTCTTATTCGCTATACACGATAAACTTAATAGTTCTAGACGTTCTAGTACCTACCTAATATTATATTATACCTAGTATAAGAATAAGAAATTATATTTAAATAATTGTTTTAGGCCTTACCTAACAATAATATCATGTTCAATACTTTAATTTTTCAAATTGTTTAAATTTTAACTAAATCTGACATCATAAATTTATTATTTCAGTCAAAAAGTTTTGTAATTAATAATTAGTTCAGTTTGTTATAAATCTATCTATTTAAGAATACATTAAAATAATATTGGTATTAAGGGAATTTTTAGCGTCAGTAGGTATTTAAATTCTTCTTGAACACAAATTTTATGATTTTCTAATGTTTATCAAACATTCCTTGTCAATTATATGTTTTAATTTAACTAATATTTAAATTAAAAATATTTGATGAATAGTTTAAAGATACGAGATATTATTGACCTATGTAAATCATTGTATAAAATTAAACTAAAAATAATTACCTGTTAAAGATGTTCAAATAAATAAATAATTTGTAATTCAATCATTCATAAGTTCACACTGCGCACAAAAGACGATTAATTCTTTATTTATTTTATGAAGTATGTAGGTATGATAAAACTCTCATTATTTTCGTTTGTTTAATAATATTATTAATTTAAAACTTTAATTTTAGTTTAAATCTGATTAAACATTGGTCTAAAAATATTTTATACTTATAGTAGTTCAGTATTTTGATGTATTATTTTTATTTTTATGAATTTATTTTGATGGTGACCTCGTAAAATATACGTATAATGAGAGGTCAAATTATTTTATTTTATAACAATGTTTTTAGTACTATAATGAAAAAAATTTAATTTAATATTATGAATAAAAAAAAACTTAATGCTAAACCAATAATTTATATTAAATAATTTATAAACAGCGGTTTTAATAATCTAGAGAACTGGAGTAATAATACGGGCACAGTAGAATAAAAGTTCATGTGATGTTCTCTACCAGTCCACTCCTCAGTCCTCTCCTCTTACTCAAACTTTAAGTTTGTATAAATAGTTAATTTTGTTTAATAATAGGTCATGTAATATTTCAAAAACTAATTTTCTGTATATTTATTATGATTGTATACAATGACAATTCTTAACCGTCAGTCGGTTATCGTTGCTCACACAGTGGTCATTAGAAGTTCTCAATCAATGACTCAACAACAGAATTTTTTTGTTCTAAGGTAAATTTACATGATCAATAATCATATTATACACACTATATTTTAATATAAGATTTTAATTTTATGATATAAACGAATTTATTAAACATTTTTATTCCTAGGCTATGTACCTACTCGTATTATATTATTATACATGTTACCTATAAGCTATAATAAGCTCCATCATTGTCTTCTTCGTCTCTACCGCTATATCTCTATGATGAGTAAATAATTTATTCTAAGTGTATACCTTTGCGTGACCTAAAGTAAATGAAAGTATATTTGTCAGGCATACAATTGGAATTGTAAATTTGTAGAAATGCATAAAACAAGTTTTAGTAAATATTACAACTACGCGAAAAAAAATCGTGCTATTAATAAAAGTGTATATAATATATTTTTATAGTAYTTACGCTTGTCCTTGATACTGAACATCGTTTGGGTGAGTGTTTAGGTAAGTGGATACATTTTTATCGAGGACAATCATTAAAAAATAAAGATAAAATTACAGAACTGTATAAGTCGTACAATAATAATTATAAACATAATACACATAAGATAAGACATGAGCAKTTCTTATYTATGTACTATGTTACCWATGTATAATTTTCTAATAAATAAATATATATGGYTGATTGTTTGTTTKTTCATCCTCAATAGGTTCAAAAGTTATTGGACAGTTTTCAATAAAAGTATTATCAACAGATTCTTAAGGACTCGGACATAATTTATACATCGGTTTTCAACCCATATAGGGTTTGCTATGCTCACACATGCAATTTATTTCGGCTCACGAAAATTGAATATTTTATTATTTACACATAGGCCATTTATTACAGATAAAAAATGTATTATTATGATTGACTATAGYATAGTATTATATTGTATTATAATATTCTGTTTTTAGGGTAATAAAGCTATTTTATATAAATGTAAAATTAAGTAATATCTTTATACACGAAAGACAAAGTGAAACTATGGTCGAGGTTTTTATGCAAAAAAACAACTGTGATTTTTATGCCAGAAGTAAAAAAAATACGATGGACAGATGATAGGCATCCTTACGGAATGAGTGAGGAGTAGCAATTGCTACCCTACCATTTTTATTGGAGTAGAAATTAATAGTTTTGCTACCATACGGACCAGTACGAAGTACGATAAAGTTATGAAAAAAATACAATTTTCTAATTTTTTTCTTCTTTAAAAGCATAATATTTTTATATTACTACTATTTAAAAAATCTAGTTGTACAACAGAAAAAATGGAAATGACTAATTTATTGATTATAGTTAGTTTAATGTTCAAATGTTTTTTTTTAGATTTCACATGGTCAATGTGGATGGGGGTTGGTTTAAAGCTCATTAGGTCTTCCCATCTGGGTTTCCTCTGTTGCTACTCCATGACTTTACMCTAAATGATKCCTTTGTACTTTGTATAGGTATGGTATATTATATTATAATATATTTGATTGCAGATTATAATATAGTAATACAGAAGTAGTCTAGTTGTATTATTACTATTAAAATCAGTGTATAATAAATTATATTAT